GAATATTTTAGACGGTCTAGCAAGAAACTTGTTTATCAAGATGATATATCTATAAATTCTCTTTTTATTATTTTTTGATTAAAAACAAAAGTTTATTGATCAATATTTACAATATTGTCAATCAAATTTGAATAAAATTTTTTTGGTTTTTGTCATTGTTCTTAATTGTATGATTAAATGACCTTTTTCGGAACTTTCTAGCAATTTTTATCTGAAAACTTTAAAATATTTTGTAAGGTTCTTGTTTTAGTTTCTCAAAAGCCTTTTAAAAAGCATCTATAAGCAAGTTGAACTTCAATTTCTTTTAAAAAAGACACAAAACTATATGAAAACTTTCTATATGATTCATCATACAAAAAAAAGACAGAAAATCGATAAAAATGAACGCCATGGATAAATGAGAGATAGTCATAATAAACGACAGTATATTTAGCAAAGTGGGTGAAAATATCCATTTGAAGAGAAAAGAGCAACATATTTTCCTCTTAGATAAAAAGTGTTCCAGAAGTTTTGAAATGATATTAAAATTCATCGTTCTCCCATGCAATAGAAGCAAACTCTTGGAAACTTCGACAGATTATTGTGCATACTTAGTACTACATGACTATCAAGTTTGAAGTGTATAACTTGTACTATAAATGAAAACCTGTAACAACACAGTCATGCACTATTTTTTTCGATTTTCCTCATATTCTTCGTAATTGTTTTAAAAACAATACAACTATCGGAAATAAGAAACACAAAACAAGTTATCAGTGTTCCGGTATTTAATTACTACCTTGATCAATTACTAATTTTAATCATGCTCGAATTTTATCTATCATTCGTTGACATAAAGAAACACAAAATTTGCTTCATTGTTTTTTAATGTCCTTTTTCAATTTGTTCAATATTACTGTATTTTCACATTCGCGTAGTTTATTTTTTAATACATCCCAAACCTTGTCTATAGGCTTCTATAGGCCTAACGTCGGCTAGTTGTGTAGCATAATTTATCCATTCAATTCGATCGATAAAAACATGTTTAGCGGCATCCAAAGCCATTAGTTGCCTAATTCTAGTTCGAATATAAATAAACATTTGAGAGCTTAATATCACTTTGAAAATAAACAAAAAACCGCCTCTCCTTAATATAGAAAAGCCAAAGATAGAATTTTTATCTTAATTGTAATTATAATTATAATTGGAGAGGTTACCAGGATTTCTTTTTTCTACGGATTTATTTGTTCCTTGAAGATTTATTAACTGTATCAATATTTCAGTGCACTAGCTTGTATCGGTATCTCACCGTGTCCACACTATAGGTATATATGTATGTACTGGAAGGTTATGTGAGATTTATCTCAAAATGCATAAGGATTTATTACAGAATCCCAGTAAATCTCAAAAAATAAGTCCTGCCAGCTGCTGCATTTTTGCCTATTTTGTGAAACACGATCTGAAAGAGAGTGTTGAAGTGTTCAGGGGTAGAAATTTGCACCCCCCCCCCCCCCCCCACCCGGACCGACATCTTAATTAATTAATTAGTGTTTAATTAACTAATTACCCGTCACAGACCGTGACAAACAGCGTTGTGAATAATGTCTAGACTATGACCGACAGTGTCACAAACCATAATAGGCATAGATCTCAACTATTTCCGTGTCATGAGCCACAGCAACTATATCGTGTTTCACATTTTAATCCCGTAGGGATTGCGCTAACAGCTTTTTTTGAATAAAAGCTAACACATTACAGATTCTTTATATTTGGCAATCTTGTTCTATGATAGTGCATTGAACAGATCTAATCAATGTACGTTAATTGATGCTAAGAAAAAAAGGATTTTCAAGAGTAATATATGTCCTCATAAAGTGTTAAATAGAATTCTCTACAAATCACCAAAATTTTCGAAAAGTTTTTGAAGATTTATAAAATAGTACTTGGGTGTAGATCCAAAGGGGTTCAAGACCTCTTCGTATTTCTTGATAGGGTTTTCAAAAAAAGCTGAAAATTGATTTTAAGCCTAGCCTTTCATGCTCTTTCGAATAGCCTAACTCATTTCAAAATAGAAACTTTTTCGTATCCCAGTGTTGATCAGTGATCTCGCGGGTCCTCTCTTAAGTAAAGGGAGAAAATTTTGAGAATACCATGGTAGTGAAATCGTAAGTAGCTTTAAAGAAATTGGTCCCAAAAACCTCGCATATTTAGTCATGATATTGTGTTCGGTATAACTTTAATTAAAAAAAACATGTTATAGTCAGTGAGATTGTAAGAGCACAACAATCAGATAACTTGTGACTATTTTGACTAAAAATTGTTTTGATCGTATCTGAATGTTTTTCGAACAGATGCCCGATGAAATAGTCTGGCAGATGTCATAGTTGACTTGATCCAGTTAATATTATTGTTGTTTGAAAAATGTGACACGTTAATGGACACAAATGATTAACTTTTTTCAAAATATTCTTTTTGTCGAACTTTTAAAACGATGTTGATAATCCGTTAGAAGATGCTAAATTTCCCAATATTTGCTAAAAACTTTTGAGGCAATTGTATTGCATTTTTGAAAGAATACAAATACTGAATTAGGTAAAGACAAGTATACCACATCATGTATTAGAGATTATCACGGCACATCTGCTGGAAAAAAACATTGAGTTAGAAAAGCTGAAATGAAAAGAGTTTACAATCAAAACTCTAAGATTCACTTTATACTAAAGCAATCTGTCATTTGAACCACTAATAGTGAACTTGGATCCAGTAGATACGTTAAAAAATGAAACAGTCTGGATCTGTATCAATGCCGCATTATCAAAATAAGAAGGCTGTTCGATTGATCATTTTTAATATAATTTTTTGCCTTTTCTTCTATTTTTCATCATTGTTTAACTACTGGTACAAAAGTAAGAAAACAAACGAATCAAAATATGACTTTAAATATCTTCAGTACCTTCTCTTCCCAATTACATATGTAAAATATAGATCACGAATTAACTAGATTAATCGCATCTAGAAACAAGTTTTCAAATTGCACTATTTTAGATTCGAGAATAATAAGAGAGAGAGACTGTTGTTCTAGATGAATCAATTCAAAATCTGAATTCTATCATGTTAGTCGCTTTCTTGAATATTTTCTTTGAGTTTCTCTTAACCTACCTTAATCTTCTTTGCCGATGTTATAAAAAGAGCAATAGATTTATTGTGTAATGAGACATTCGCGTTCTAGACAGAAGAACATTATCTTATTCATTGAAATATGTCAGAAGCAACATTGCACTCTGCCGCATGGTTTGCAAATCGTTTCATCGATGACACCGTACAAAATGATAACCGATTAAGTCCAATCTACGGTTATCAGAATCAGCTACTCGTATCATTGGAGCGAGCTGTCGAATCCATTGAGTCACTATTCAATTCCCTTGCCGACTATGTCAAAGTAGCTAAAGAATGTTGTCATTATCCGAACAAGCATGGTCTCACAAAAGATCAAGCAGCATCTGTTTACCTTTATACAATGGAATGGGGTGACAACAGTTTCTATCGAGTACTCAACACTGCTCTCCGCTCCGAAAACCGTAACAGTCTCAAGCCTTGGTTTCCTTTCCTAAAGCTCTTCGATACAGCTTTGAAAAAGTTGCCTAGTTGCAAACACAATGTTTGGCGAGGGGTGCGTACGGCGTTGGGAAATCAATACAAGAAAGGGTAAGCTGTACTTGATAATGTATTCAATGATAAATATCACGATTGACAATGTGTTAAGGGACAAATTGGTATGGTGGAGTGTTAGCTCGTGTTCGCTGGACGTCCATGTTATTGAGAGTTTTCTCATTGGAACAGATACTCTATTCTTAATCGAAGCCTTAGATGCTCGAGATATTACCGGCTATACAAATTATTCAGACGAACATGAAGTCATATTGTTACCAGGTTTACATTTACATGTGGTTGCCGATGCAATGGAACATTCTGGTGGCCTTCAAGTTGTTCATCTTCAACAAATAACGGTATGTGAAATAGAATACAGTAAAACGGAATGTATTCGGAAATGTTTGTTGCTTCACTTCTATTCTTCAGTCTCCTGAACCACCCGAATATACTACACGAAAATTTAGCAAGAGATATTGGATTTTTGGTGCACTAACTTTTATTCTTATTGGGATGGTAGTCGGTCTAACGACTGGATTGTTGACAAGAAAGACAGCTCCTGTAAATACACTTGTATCACCAGGTAATTCTACAACAGTCATTTCTACTACTGAACAGTTCACTTCTTTGAGTATATCCCAAGATTGCATACTATCGAGCGATGATAAGTTCTTCCTGTATTAGCCATTATTATTTCTTTATACTCAATATTTACAATTTTTTGTAGAACTTTCGTGTCAAACAGCGAGATGAAACTCAAGTGAAAGTAGAGGGCTCCGAGGTAATGGTCCTGGTAGCGGTACAAGTCAGCTTTCTTTGCTATAAGGACTCTTAATTGACTCCAACTATACTCTTTTCATTGCTGATTTGCAGAATGCATGTGTGATGAAATGGGAAAAGAATGCATCAGAAGGCATACTAATGTCCTGTTCAAAATAAAAGAAGGATGATTGTTTTTCGAATAACTCTTCAACGGAAAGAGCTGTCGATCTGCAGTTTTCATCAATAGAAAGAAGTTAACATTCTGCACCTTTTTATATAGTAGTTAACAAAACTAGCTCATAAATTTGGTGAGCAATCAGTGAAATTGAAAGAATCAATTAAAATGCTTTGAAAAATGTATAGAGTTTCAATTATAAGGAATACGTTAGATTGGACTACTCAAGATCCACAACTGTACATAAATTCGAAATTTTTATTTTTTGTATGATTCAAAAGATATACAGCCAACACTGATCCTCAAAAATGCTAGAAACAACATTTAGTGACGATTTTTTCAAGTTTTTTTAAAATTCTATGTTTATCAATTAACAGTTAGGTTTTCGATTATTCTGAAGTGGTATTCAACATATAGGAGTATATTGTATCAGTATAGTTGGCGACGAGGATACTCAATATGTCATGTAATATGATTAGCACTGGTTTTACATGGCAAAGAACGATTTCCTTGCACTATGAACAATTTCCTTCAATTGATAATGATCGAAAACTTAACTGATAATTGATAAACATAGAATAAAAAACCTTGAAAAAATAGTCACTAAAGGTTGTTTCTAGCATTTTTGAGGGTCAGTGTTGGCTGTATATCTTTTGAACGATACAAAAAAATAAAAATTTCGGATTTATATAGAGTTGTAGATCTTGAGTAGTCCAATCTAACGTATTCCTTATAATTGAAACTCTATACATTTTTCAAAGCATTTTAATTTCTTCTTTCAGTTTTACTGATTGCTCATTAAATTTATGAGCTAGTTTTGTTAACTACTATATAGAAAGATGCAGAATGTTAGCTTCTTTCTAATGGTGAAAACCGCAAGTCGACAGCTCTTTCCGTTGAAGAGTTATTCGAAAAACAATCATCCTTCTGTTTATTTTGAAACGGGCATTAGTGCTTGAGCAACATAGTTCTGGTTCAGAATATGCTAATCTCGGTCGACCCCACCATATTAATATTGATAATGAAGGCACGCTGTTCATTTTCGACAGTGTCTGTGGCAGTGAGGAGCGTATAATACGTCAAGTGAAAAGAGTAAGAGTACGTATACTTCCCTTAAATCATGCTATACAGGATTTTGCATTGGATCCTCAACAAGAACATCTCTATGTTGTGCATGGCGAAGAACTTCGTGTAAAGATATATGTTGTGAGATATCCAGACGTTCTGACATTCATTTCTTAAGGAAGAACACATGGAGATGCTAGATCGACCGATAATGGGCTACAACTATAGCATATCCATTTTCCTTTTGGCGATATCAAAATTATTGAGTCTCGTGTGTACCCTCCTTACAGGTTTTTTTGGGTAACCGGGAAAAAATGCATAGACAATAGTTTTATTTTGTGCTGTTCAGTTACTAATATACTCTCACTCATTCTTCGAGATAATACTGCGAGAGTAATTGACACACAAATACGTCCAAACAACCAATGGTCAGTGCTACGTACATAAAGAATAGAATATGGTTGATCTCTTGATATTTCTTCAAAGTTTCACTATATTCTTTAGATTTGAACTTTTTAGAACTGATGAAAATCGCTTTTTAATTTTGAAACTTTTCGAAATATCTACTGTCATGTTTTAATATCGATACAGCGTATCAGAAGTAGGACTACAGCATTCTATTATTTGGAATTCTATTCGTGATTTCTCTTTACAAGATACCGCCGTTAAAAAAATGCTTTCTCTCATATATTGTAAATTTTGCGAAGAAATTGACTTTTTTCAAAATCTTGTTTAATAGCATTGTGAAATAATCCGCTTCTTGTTGTTATCTATTGAATTCACACAAAAGATTAACGGACATAAAGTAAAGCGTGAAAACACTGATGAACTCGATCCAGTTACACTAATTAATCTTGTTTTCTTTCATTCATCGAAATGGACAAAGGCCAAACTCTCAAGAGCATGCTTTATTTTTTCCAAGAGTTCACCCATCAATGTGTCTGTTTGTCAAGATTTGAAATCTGAAGAATCTTCAAACATGTTGTCTGTATGTGATAGAAGAGAAATCTCGAGTAGTGCACGCGTAAAGTTCCAGTAACAGTAACAGGTGTTCGATAAAACTATCATCAATGGTTATATAACTCTATCGACAGAACAATATTATGCATTTTCAAGGGTTGCACAAAGTGTTAATTTCATTTTTTTTTCTAATTAATAAGAGCTCATAAGAAAAAGAAAAATACTAAGGAAAAATGATTCTTTTCTGAACTCGAGAGGGAAGGGAGGTTGGCTTTCCTTAGACACACCTGCTGGCTATCTTCTTCTTTGTCATTCCTCCTCATTGATCATTTCTCGTCGTTCAGCAAAGAATTTGAGTAGAGATAAGCTTGTAGAGAATCCACAGTTTTGTTGGATGGATAGCTTCCGAAGACAAAGAACAAAAACAAAACTGCGTAAAATGTATCTCAAAAAGAAAAAAAATAATAGATGAAAATAAAGATGCGTGTGCCAGCAATGAGATGAATGGAGGAACAGACGAACAGCAAAATAAAATAAAAAAATATTTCTAAATTCTGATGGTCATCACCCACCCTCACCGTCAAAACCCGAAGATTCCAATTTTTTCGCCCATATATTTTATTTCTGTAGAATTCAGCTACATGTCTCACTCTTACTCACCGGCCCGTCTTTCCGGACAAAATCGCTCTTTTTTAAAACTTCTTTCCTCTCTTTATGTCTTCTGCTTCCTACTATGACACTTATTTTTCTCTATTTTAAGTACCATCACGTGCAAGTTCGATTGATATTCATCCGAATGCAAAATGGACTCAGAATGGTGTCACTGTGGCTGGAGGAAATGGACAAGGCAATGAAACCAATCAACTCGCTTTCCCATCTGGTTTGTATGTCGACGATGATCAAACGATTTATGTCGCTGATTACTATAATCACCGTATTGTGGAGTGGAAACGTGGTGCAATGAATGGCCAAGTAGTTGCTGGTGGAAATGGAAGAGGAAATGGAGCTAATCAGTTAAACGAGCCATACGATGTGATTGTCGATAAAGGGATCGATAGTCTCATCATTTCTGACACGTGGAATCAAAGAGTAGTTCGATGGCCTCGGCAAAATGGTGCTAGTGGAAAAACAATCATCTCAAACATAACTTGCATCGGTTTGACAATGGACGAGAATGGATCTCTTTATGTCAGTGACTATGAAAAACATGAAGTGAGACGATATCGTATTGGCGATACTGAAGGAACAGTAGTTGCAGGTGGTAATGGAGAAGGAAATCGTCTTGATCAACTCAATCGCCCTTGGTACGTATTTGTCGATCGAGATCATTCAGTGTACGTGTCTGATTGGGGAAATAATCGTGTGATGAAATGGGAAGAAGGTGCAAAACAAGGCATTGTAGCAGCCGGTGGTCAAGGACAAGGAGATAGTCTTACACAATTGGATGGTTCTCAAGGAGTTGTTGTCGATCAATTGGGCACTGTTTATGTGACTGATGTTAATAACAATCGAATAATGCGTTGGCCAAAAGGAGCCACACAGGGAAGTGTGATTGCAGGTGGAAACGGTCAAGGAGGACAATCGAATCAATTGAATTATCCTTATGGTTTATCATTCGATCGACATAACAATCTCTATATCGCCGATTGGGGGAGTCATCGAGTACAAAAATTTAATATCGAACAGACAACAAATTAATGATATTTACTTGTTTGTATACGCTTAAAAATGATTTGCATTGAATAAAGGATATTCACGATTAATCAAGGGTGTCGGTATGGGTGTGGGTGTGGGTGTGGGTGTGTGGGTGTGGGTATGGGTATGGGTGTTGGTCTCTTGGTTTCCACATCCACACCCACACCTACACCTACACCCGATACCCACACCCACACCCCACCCACACTCACACCCACACCGACCCACGCCCATATCCACACCCACCAGAGACGATCATTACTACATTTTCATTTTCAATATCACTTAGAAAATCAATACATTTTTCAACATCTGTAAATGTGGTGACTATTTCTACAATATTTTGTAAATGTTCTATTGATTTTTTATAATCGTCCTTGGATTTATTTAGATTAGCATCAAGCCATATCAGCAGGAAATTTTGAAGCGTCCGAAAAATGGGTCGTGACTGTGTAGTATTTCTGCTCATCACTGTTGTTGCTTCTGCTGCTGATGATGATAACTTATTCGACTTACTTGTTGTAGATGATGAGCTGTTAGCCATTGTTTTAGAATTTTTCTTCTCTACTTTAATGATAATGACGATGATGTTGATGGTGTTTTGAGTTTTTTCAATTTACGTATATGAATGAAAACATGATTACTATTTGCACACTGTAAGAATCAACAAAACAAAAAAAATATTTCGTCTGTCTCTAAATATATTTCGATTTTTTTTCCTCTTTATGTTGATGCTTTAGTTTTTGTTTGGCTGGTTGCTATCGGCTTCAAGGATTTCTCATCTCGAGCATTCGTTTTTTTTTCTTTTACAAATGCTGCTGACATAATTTTACAGGTAAAATATGTGTACATGCATCCAGAATGAGACAAGGAAGAACAAGAACGAAACATAAAAAAGAACTGCATTATCGTTATTTATAATAGAAAAGAAAAAAAAACTTATAAATAGGATTTAAACAGTTTTTGTTCTTTCCTACTGTTTTTTCTTTCGATTGCATTGGACTCTATTAGAAAAGGATGATGGATGGCAATGTCTTATCAGTCGATAACAGCCTCTACTATTGCCAACAGGATGTGGGTGTGGGTGGGTATTTGTGTATAGAAGTAACTTTTTGCCTGCAACCACACTCACACCATTACCCATTAATTTTTAGATAAAACTTTCCTCCAATTCATTAATTACCAATGAGCTACCGAAAAACATTTGACTTTAAAATTCCTATGCTTTTATAAGATCTATAATTTTATTTTAGCTAAACAATTTCGAACAATTGTAAATGATTTTCGTCAATTATTAATTCATGATGAAACTGTACATTGTCTTGATAAATTTTCATATTTAACTATTTTAAGTGAATATTCTTAGTTATTATTATTATCATTTTATATAACATTATTATTATTATGAACACATAGTCTTAATGTGGTTGATTATATACAAAAACTATGGTGATCATCAACATTAACACTATCGTCATTAATAACACATCAATTTTTTTTAATTTGAACAAAGTGATACATGTACATATATACATAATTTATTTGGTTTTATAGGTCGTACATTAGTTGCAAGTCATTTATTTGTTGAATTGATATATAGTAATTGGGAGAATTTATTAAAATGAAATAAATTATCATTAATATCATTAAAAATTCTTCGTACACACTTGAAGGACTACATGTAGATAAACGTGATGTTTGATTAGTTTTATTGATTGAACAATTTCTTATATTACCACGCATATCTGTATTAGGTTTAGCCGAACTATTTATTTGTCGTCATATTGAAATGATGTTAACAATTGATGAACAATCATTAAATAAACAATTATTACCTAAATATTTATCATTAATTTTACAAGTATTATCAACAACGAAAAACAAATAATATACACTAAAAATTTCTACACAAATGCTTAAAAATATAACTTAAAAAAGTTTATTATCATTCATGATGCCACTGATATGTTTTAGATTTAATATATCGAAATAAATATAATGAGTATTTTAATCTAATTAAAAAAAAAGTTTGCTTTTCTTTGATATGGTTCAGGTGATAATAATAGATAAGACTTTTGAATAATTCGAACTTTCAAACAATATTTTGAAGTATAAAACTAATCGGTCTACTGTACTTACGTAGAGAAGGACGAGTTTTAATGGTTGTGTACCTCATCGCCGAAAATATGATCACCGAAAACGCACATCGCCGAAATCACATGCAAATTTTCGCTAAAATTACATGTGCTTTCGGCGACATGAGTTTTCGATGATCTTATTTTCGGCGATGAGGATTCATACCGTTTTAATAACATAGATAACAAACAAACAAACAAAAAATACAGAATTTCAGGTAATACGAAGCCTAAAGGAACTCATTTAAGTTACATTAGTACAATGACCGAATTATTCGTCTCGAGGGTGGGGTGGGTGTGGATGTGGATCGGTATGGGTGGGGCTGGGTGTGGGTGTGGGATGTGGGCGTGGGTGTGAGTGTACGTGTGAATGTGGGTGTTGGTCAAGAGAGGACTAACATCAACACCCACCCTCACCATAAACTCCACGGCCACACCCACACCCCACACTCCACACCCCACACCCACACCCTAAGTGAAACTATGAAATCACTAAATGATCCAGATATAATGAAAAATACTTTTTCTGTATCAATAGATAATACGTAATCAATACATTCATCGGGATCTTTAAATATCATTAAATAGTTTATAACAGAACGTAGACAAGATTTTTTGTATAAATAATCATCATCCATTTCATTTGTTATAGGATCAAGCCAAACGAGAGTAAAATCTTCAAGATTTAAATCGTCCATTGTTAACAGATTTTTAGCACTAAAGATTGATGACAATAATATATTTCTTTGATTTAAAATCTAGAGAATAAATAGATTTTGACATAAAAAAAGATGTTCAGAAATATGTAGTTTCCTCTTTGTTTGACCCTCAACGAAGCCATATATGTCAAACTTGAAACTTGAATTCAATTGAAATTTCAAGTTTCAACTGAGATATCAACTTTCAACTTTCAAATCGACAGGACTTCGCAACTGGTGCGGGTGCGGCAAAAGGAGTTTCATCAAGATCTACTCACACACATTCACACACACATCGTCGCAGTTGGTGTGAGTGCGGCGAAAGGAGTTTCATCAAGATCGACTCACATACCTCATCGCAGTAGTGCTGTCGGTTTGAAACTTGAAACTTGAAACTTAAAACTTGAAACTTCAGTTGAAACTTAAATTTCAATTGAATTCAAATATCAAGTTTGACACTACTGAACGAAACTATCCACATCTGTCCTTACTACAATAAAAAATTCTCAAGATAAGTTTGTTTTTTATTTGATAGTAATTTTCGAAATGGAAAAGCAGGCATCTAAAGCAGAAAAATAAAAAATCGAATAGTTAAGAGTCCTTATCTGACTTTCAAGGTTTTATTCTCTGGCAACTTCGCTCCTTAACAAAGACAAAATATGACAAGGTACTTGAAGAGACTTCAACATTTATGCCTTTATTCGCAATGACTAGTTAACAGTAATAAAATATACGTTAAAAAGAAAATTTTACTGCTCACAGATCTCTCTATACGAAATGTAATAGATAATATTTTGTTCTACATGCAAAAACAGATGAGAACACCTACCTCTCTTTATTTCAACTGTTACAGCTATAACATCGCATACATAAAATATAGATAAGAAAAAATACTGATGTCACCGTACTTTTTTTCTTTACTACATCTCTATCGATCAATTATGAGTAACAATTGTAGAAAAAGAAAAATTCAGCTGCCTGTGCCCCACACGCAAAATATACAGGTGAGAAGAAACATCGTCGGGATGAAATTTTATTTCATTACTAATTCATTTGCCATAGAAAATTGCTTAGTAACTATATGATAGTAAAAACCGGTCTAAGAGACAAGGATACATTCAATCAATAAAAGGTAAAAAAGCGCTAGTAGTTATCATAATTAGCAAACGATATTGAATTATTTTGATTGTGTCTTTATTTTATTCTACTGCAAAATCAAGAAGAGAAGTTTGTTTTACAAGGTTATTTTCTTCCAGGAGTTTTATTATACATGATTTATTACGATTATTCGATATAAAAAGTTTGTAACAGTTTAAATTTAATTTCAAAATTTTCGAAAAAGGCATAGATTTAGGGGTGAGGATGAGTATAAATATTAACTACCACTATCCGAATTTCGTCTCAGTTACGAGAATCAACGGGTGGCTATGAATATCTGCATAACAAAATTAATAACAATTAAATTAGATAGATATCATAAATGACATCTTCCAATATTAGTTTGTAATTAATATAGCATCTTACATACTTTGGATTTTTCGATTCTTGTTGATGTATGATTGGTAGTAGACTTGAACACAAAGAAAAATATTAATTAAATGATAGGAGTACTTTTATGAAGAATGACTTATATGGTGTTGTTGTTTTAATGTTGATGACAGCGATCCGTTATGAAAGTAGGACTGAGTTATTATTTTGCCTTTTTTTGATTACTGAGAGGTATGATTTAAAATCTTCGAAATATCTAAAAGAAGAAAAGTAAATAAGGTTATTTAGGTGAGTAATATCTCATGAAAAGCAATGGAAATGAAGGATTTTTTAAAACAAAATCGCATGGTATACTCTTGTTTATAGTGAAGGAGATAGGAAGGAAATCAGAAAGAATTAGATAATCAGAAGAAATTGTCATCATGGATAGTATTGCTAAATTTCATCAATTGTTGAGCACGTTGTTCAATATTCGCTAGACGAGCTTCAATAATAGTACGCATTGAAACACCTAATGATTCTATCAAAAGTAATTCACTTTGTTGTTGTTGTTGTTTAATTGTTTTCATTGTAATTTGGTTCATTATCGATGACTGATTCTTCTTTTTTTGACGAAATGCTCGTTGACACGATTTTACTTTTGTTCGCCAAATTTTCTGAACACTTGAAATCTAGAATAGGTAAAAAATAAAAGATAAGGTGTATTAAAATGTATATAGAATAAATAAATCGAAACCTTTTCTTCTGTTGGATTTAAGGGTGTGGGTGTGGATCAGACTGTGAGTGAGGATCAGTGCGGAACATGACGCCTACACCCACAACCACACCAACCACACACACCCACAACCACACCCATACCCATACCCACCATCTGTACCGTTGAAAATTCTTGTTTAAATTGATATACGAAGAAAGGATTTAACTCACAAATGACTCGGAATCGAAAGACACCGCGGTGCGACTGTATTTTAACAATCGAACGATACCATACACGGGTGAATCATATTTATTTACGTTCTATAAGGAGTCAATCGTTTTGAGGGTGTAACATTCGTACGCAAAACGTTAAGAGAGTACGAAAAAACGGTGTTAATCCAACCGATTGGACAATAGTACTTGCAATGACGTTATTGTGGAATATTGGTCTCATAAAAAAATATAAGTGGTGCATTTGCCTTGAGCTTAGTCAAGCTGTATACGACGTTCGGTAATAAATACTTTTATTATAATCTGTTATAGAAGTCAATGATGAAGCGTTTTTGCTGGTATTTCTTTCTCTCGGTTGCTTTCTGTCGAAATGCATCCGAATGGCGTTCTCGATCGATCTACCAAATGCTCACTGATCGATTTGCCTCGGATGACTCTCCTCTTCGATGTACAGAACAACCGATGTCGGAAAATACTTCTCGAAACTATTGTGGCGGGACTTATCGAGCAGCCGTGGCACATCTAGACTATATTGTCGAAATGGGTTTCGATGCTCTATGGATTTCACCGATTCCGTCGAATGTCGACGGTGAAACAGTGTACGGAGTTGGTTGGCATGGCTATTGGCAAGATCATTTAGAACAATTGAATCATCATTTTGGAACAGAGACAGAATTAATCGACTTCATTCAACAGGCACATAAACGCGATATTTGGATTATGTTAGATGTAGTTGCCAATCATGTTGGCCCAAATTTAACAACCGATTATTTTCCTTTCAATCGCCCAGAACATTTTCATCAGCTGTGTTTCATCGATGATTACACCAATCAAACACAGGTGAAAATTATTCGATTGAATCTCTCTTTCATTTTTTTTTCGTTGAAGGTCGAGTTTTGTTCTGTTGGCGATCGTCAAGATCCGTTGCCTGATTTGAATACTGAAAATGAATTTGTCGCATCAACACTCTTCTCTTGGATACGTGACACAGTCGCCAAATATCAATTCGACGCTATTCGTATTGATACCTTTCGTCATGTTCCCAAACCGTTCTGGACAAATTATACGCGTTCATCAGGTGTTTATTCTATTGGCGAAATAGCTACATCCGAAACAGATTATGTTGGTGATTACACACTTTACGCCGACGGTGTTCTTCATTATCCATTGTATTTTGCTTTGAATGTCACATTTCGAGATGATCCTCAATGGCGACAACCGATGAATGTCTTAGAAAAACAAGTTCAAGAGAATGAGAAATTCTTTAGAGATACGACGCTCTGTGGTGTCTTTTTGGACAATCACGATCAAGCACGATTTCTGAACTATACTCAAGATCCAATTCGAATTCAGAATGCGTTTGTCTATCTTCTATTCAGTGATGGAATTCCGATTATCTACATGGGTACAGAACAGAATTTCACAGGTGAGACAAGTCAATCTTTTTGTCGATGATATCGAACTTTGTGTGCATTCTTAGGAAATCCGAATGTAACTCACGGAGCAACCGATCCGTGGAATCGTGATCCTTTATGGCGATCTACATATGATCGTTCAAACTGGATCTACAAATATTTGGGTCAACTTAACCGAATTCGTTCGTCATTGAAAACCGAATATAATCATCTTTTTTTCATGTC